GCTAATACTTTATACTGGAGGACAAAATCAATACTTTTAAAATATCTTTACTGGGCACAACAATGGGCTAAACTAACAAGTATATATTTAACTTGGATAAAGAGAATATCCTATGTTTAAAAAATTCATTGCACAAGTATAGGATTTTGTTAAGATATTTTGGGGAATCTGGCTTGATAACAATGGAAAAAATAGAAGTTTTAGTTGAGAAGTACAGATAAGCTGATAGCAACAACTGGTGTAAAAGTATATGTGATATTAATAATTGCAAAAGATTAAGATTAGACACAAAAATCCCACTGACTTCTGACCATATTTGAAGTACAGCATCCAGTTATGCATAGCATGTTTAACTTAGCCTGAAACTCAATAGATCTGTCTATATTCACAAAATGGCTACTGAGAAGGCTACAGGCGTGGATTGCCACATAAAGGACTAAAACAGCAGGGTAGTTTGTACTGAAGAAATGACACACAGTGAATACCTGAAGGTTCTGTGCTATGCTTTTTGTGTCCTTGCTAAGGCCAGCTCTGAGCACACAGTGTGACATGTGTCTGTTAGTCCAGTAAATGATTGTTAGTAAAGGCAGTCAGAGAAGTCACTGGCTGTGCATGAGACTTTGCCTTCTGCATCCAGGTAGGGTTGATCCAGGATCCATAGTAAATATTGTACAGAGATAGCATTCAGGCAGATATAAAGTGGGCATTTCTGTATCATTTACAGTGATCTCAGAGTGCAAAATGAGTCTGATGCTGGGGATTTAGCTCAGTGGCACTGCACCTGCCTCACAAGTGCAAAGTCCTGAGTACGATCCCTGGTACCAAAAAAAATAGCCTGATGAATTCTTGTCATTGGGAGTATACTGTCTCCTGTTATGGGTCAAGTGTCATCTCCTGAGGAATTTTGTGAGGCTTGACCACTGAAGGTACCATTCAATTCTAAGATTCACCAAACCATTCATCCAAAAATATTTATGGGGAACCAATTGCCCTAGGGAGTGAAGAGACAATGATGAGCCAAAGCAGACAAGGCGCCCACCCCTGTGGAACTTGGAGTTGAGGCCAGCAGTCCCCAAAGCAGGCTGTGTGTACCCTATTTGGGGCAGAGGGATGGAGAAAAAAAATACTGGAAACATCACTTATATTGTGAGTTTCACAATTCAGATAGGACAGTGGGTATCCATTTGGGCTCCCAACTGAAACAGCAAATATTTGTTGAATTATTTCCACAGAAATAAGATAGGGCATCTTGGAAAAGATGTTTTACCGAATCCATGCAGTAGTCATCTGGCAGAGAACTGGACCCCGTTTGTTTGTTTGTAAAAGCCACGATTTAAGTTGGGAGGCCAAATGGATACCCGCCGCCCTGTCTGAGGACTGTACTAGTTTCTCTAACCGGGAAATGACTGTGTGGATCTAGAGGAAAGTGTGGGGCGAGGAAAAGAAGACTACACAATTTAGAGATCTAGAATAGTCCTAACTTCACCCTTTGGGTGAGTCACTCAGCTTCCCTGGGCTCCAGTTTTTGCAGTGATTGTACAAGAAAGTTACTCTGGAAGGTCTCTGAATTCTCTTGTTAGCTCTGAAATACTTTCCCAGAAGAACTTCAAAGGTGAAACCGTCCTATAACTCTGCTCTCTCTTTACCCCTCTATTCTCTAACCTCTGACCTCCTTCTCTTTCTGCACCTACTGAGCTTCTGAAGTTGTTCTATGTCAATTGATGACCCCTTAGTGGCCAAATCCATAACTCTGCTTTGAGTCTTCCTCCCATGGACCTCTGTAGGGCACTTAAGAGCATCAGTTGGATGCTACCTGGATCCTATCTTAGTTTTAAACTACATTTTTGGCTGCTTCTTCTTGTTTTTTTGTTTCCAATGCCACTGTGTTACTTTACACACTTGTCATCTCTTACTACTGTAATCATATCCTAATTTGTCTCACAGTCTGACCATCTTTCTTGGCTGCCATCAAGCTAAAAGGGCTATTTTCCCTAAATACAAATCTATCAACTCTTCCCCAATTATGATGCTTTAATAGCTCCCATTGTTCACAGGGCTGGAAAACATATCAGTATCCACTACACACATGACACCAGTCATTTTTCTGGAGCCTAGGGCAGATACCTATATTCAGACATACTTCAGAACCATTCTTAACCCAGACTTTAGATAGCTATTGCCATTCAATAAGTGCTAACATAAGACACAACCTACTCATTCATAGACTGACTGTAACCTGCTGTCCCCTCTCATTTCCTATCACCTTCCTTCCCAACCACGTACTACAATTCTGGGTGCTTCTGAGCTTCCCCAATAGGTATGCTCTTTCCAGCCATTTTTACATTGTGTATGCTTGATTATTCTGTATGTAAACAATTTTCCCACTGCATCTGGTTAATGCCTACTATTCTTTCCAGAGCCAGTTCCAATATCACCTTCTTTGGTAGGCCTTTCCTGACTAGCCTGTGAAGAGTTAGGAAACAAAAGTTTGTTTTCTTCTACTTACATTGCAGTTATCCATTTCCACATGCGCTGTTGCCCATCTGACTAGAATACAACTTCCTCTTCCCTGAGACCATGTAATAATCATCTCTGCATCTTCCCTAGAGCCTTCTACAGTAGCTAGAACACATTAGGTGCTAAATCCATGCTTACTGAATGACTGAAAGGCTGAACAAATGGATGGCTTCATTTGTAAGTAGGTTTAGAACTCCCATTGCCTGCTTATGGTCACTGTTGGGAATACCACCAAAGGAACTCTTCCTAGATTCACTGGACACAATTTCATAATAAAAGGTGGACCTAATGGTAATAACAGTAACAATTACAGCAGCTAACAGTATCAAATGCTTACCAGGTGCCAAGACAAAAATTGTTGGCTTTAAGACTTTAAGAACAAGGATCAGAGCAGACTTTAAATACAATTAAAGAGCAGGCTTAAGATAATTCTGGGCATAAAGAGTCATCCTTTGATCAGCTATCCAAAAATAAAACAGGAGTCTATAAAACTCCATTGAAAGCAGCTTCAGATCATTGATTAACACAACTGGGGTGGGGGGTCGATGCCCAAAATAAGAACCTATTATTCATACAGATGTCTGTGCTGGGCAGTAAATAACTTATTTTTTCTTGATGGCATTTTATAGTAGCTGCAATTAAGATTATCCTTAGAAATTTCTTTCCTGGTCAATTCTACCTGTGAAAATCAGCATAGAATAGCTTGTCATGGGCCAAGGATTTAGCTCAGTGGTTCTGCTGCCTGCCTCACAAGTGCAAGTACCTGAGTTCAATCCCCGGTACCAAAAAAAAATTAAGATCCAGTGAGTAAAACAAGCTTTAAGACAAAAATTGGGGGTGTGATAAATGTTGATTTGTTGTATGATTTTCTTAGAGATGTAGAATGCAAATTAGAACACAATAAAGAAAACTGACCCTGTGGCTTAGCCCAGAATTCTTCATATGTGCTTGATGTGAGAACAGAGTGCTTTATTTTTATTTCCATGGAATTAATAGTGGGAAATACTATCTTGGGAGGGCCCAAGTCCCTCTATACTGGGATTCTAGCACCAGATATTTGTAAAGGGGACCTATCTGATTTAGGGAAAGGAAGATTGACTATATTTTAGGCCAGAATAGACTCAAGCATGGTGTTATTATTTACATGATAAAATCCAACCCTATATAAAGGCTGTGGAGAAAAAGGCCAAGTCCTAATCAGTCCTTGGAATTAGCAGTTTAGTTATTATGGCTGTATCACACAGTCATAGGAATTTATATTTTCATTTTGTGCCAAAGAAAAACTTGACCATCTTTCTTTAATATCATCAACCAGGAAGCTTGACAGTAAGGATTAAAAATTGCTCCTTCCTTCTCACTTGGTTATTGGAAAGGCTCTGAAAGGTAATCAGTCTTGTGAAGCTATACTTTACAGTCTGCATAAAAATGCCATGATTTCCCTTCCTCTCCCCAACCTAATTGAAAGTGCATAATATCATCCAGCTGGGGAAATGTAAACAGTAAACATATGCAATATATCATGCTATCACACAAAAGCTGGTTACTAATAGGAAAAAGTGGCTTTCAGATCCCTAAGAAATCTGGAAAACATGTCTTTTTTTTCATTTAGAATGAGAGCTCCTTGTGCAAGCCACACGTCCTGCCACCTCCTCCCTCCAGACTTCAAACTGCAGTTAGATTGCAGCAAGGTCAGTCAGCCCCTCCTTGCGTGTAATTCAGGAGTCACCTAATAGTGCATAGTGACCAAAACTCTTTCAAGTAATTCTTTCAAGACACAAGCATTTTACTTTTCGCAGGAGGTGGGGTTGGAATGATCTTGTTTCCTACCTACTTCAATTGTACTGACAGATGGTCCTATTATGTCTTTCCTTAGTTGCTAAACCTAAAGATCTGCGGCCTTGTCACCTCCTATCTTTCTCTATTCCATCAAACTCCCATTGCCCAGATGATTTCCTTTTCTACCTCTGATCATCCATGAATACCTATACAGGATCATATTGTTTTTAAGCATCAACTCCCAATCCTACTTTTCAAACTGCCCTGTATCTCTGTAGCTATCTATAATTCCACTTCAATCACACCTACTTAGAAGTCATCATTTTCTCTTCTCTAACTCTTCATCTCTAAGTGTCATGCCATCTTCTTAAATAAGTCTTTTATAATATGGCTCTTAAGAGAAAGGACAATATTCTTTCGCAGTTTTCATCATTCTTTCTCTGTCACAATATTCTTGCAAAAATTGCTCCCTGTTGCACCATGAACTTTAATATTACCATTCATTCATGCCACCTTATAACCGGCTATTGTTTTATTTTTGATAGCTGATACCTTATGGGAAGGTCAAAGTAGCACTCTTGTCTAGGGCACCGTGTCATTTCAGCTTTAATAGATTGAAGGATATATTTTTTATCTGCTTTAGCAGTAGAGGTGACTTGAAACTTACTGAATTAAAACTATATACATCTTTCACTAAGTTTTATTACCTGTCAACTGGAGTTGGTGGATGATATGGCTTGTTGACCTTGGCGTAGAGACCCTCTAAGTGGTCTCTCTCTGGAGACAGTGGACGGCCATCTCTAGGGTAACCAAATGGTCCAGTCCGAGGAGGAGATGGAGATCTAAAGACATTTGCTGATACACATGGTTCCCGAAAGTGGTTCACTCTGGCGTAATTGGGGTCCATCTCATCATCATCCATATCATGCACTGATCCAATTGTACCAGTAGCATAATCGAGAAGACCTCTTGCCTGCTTTTCTCTTAGCTCTTGATGTTTTGCTCCAATCCTGAAAAATGTAGAAGTGGCAGACTAACATGAGTTTTATATGTTAATACAATGAATTACTCATCTGAGTCTGTTAACTCTTGTTATCCACTTAGCTGCTACTTTCTTGTTTACTCAAGATCACACTGTGCAGAAGTGCCAACAGCATAAGAGGATTAATTTTATATCTCTGACCTTTATTTGTTCTGGGGTCTTTATTTTGATAGTGAAGTCATAGATATTTTGACCTTTTATTCACTGATAATGGGCTGATAACAGTCTTTCCTTACTAATGGAAGATATTTGTGGGAGCAGTGTATCTCTTTCTTGATATTGTGGAAGTCTTTCTGGGGACAGGGATGTATGTTAAAGGACCTATCATAATCTTACACTTTTTCTATTACTTCATTATTTAGTGCTCTGGAGTTCCAGTGCATCCTTCTAAAGCAAAGAGTTTGCAAAAATTGATTTAAATATGAAAAAGAAATACAGAGCAAGGTGATTAAAAAGCAATGGGATCAGGGGTAATTTATAAGATACTCTAAGTTTTTTGATTACACAAATGGGGATCATTGTGTCTCATTATATAGGGGCTAGGGACAGAATAAAATAATGAAGAAATTAATAGGCTCCTGGCAGAGATGAATTGGCACATATAAGTGCATTAAACACCACTACTGGCAGAACTCCCTAAGTCTAAAGCCTGAAGTGATATTACAAAATGCTACTTCTAATCAGGGCCACTGTATAGATTACCAAGAATGGAGTAGAAAAAGATACTTAGGTGGATTCCAAATTTATCAGAATTTGGAGAATTTGACATTTAACGTGTGAAGTGTTAGATCAGCTTTCCTAATTTCCCAGTTGGTGACAAACTGGAAAGGTCATTGTGACATCCTGTTGAACAATGGCACACCTCGATGTGAGGTGGTCTTCAGCACTTAATTAGGAAAGAGTTTAACCTTCCATCACTGAGCAACAAGGTGCAGTGAGATGCAGAGATGAGAGAGTAAGGTGATGCTGACTCAGAGGTAAAGAAAGATGTCCAAGAAAGGAGGGGGAATTAAGGGATACTAAGGGCTGTGGGCTGGAAGTGGAAGATCTGTGTATGCCTGGCGACAAACAGAGAAGGCATGGCTGAGTTACAAAACAAAAACTGAAACCCCATAACATCCTCTCCTCTTCAAAGAAAAATAGTTGTTTTTGTACGTGACAGCTAGTTTTATTTTACAAAACATCAAACTCTTTGTAAAAATCTTTAGAAGCCATGATCTTTCAAGGTATTTTCTCTTTTGGTAGGATAGCATTTTTGTTTTTATTTTTTACATTTTTGAGTAGAAAGGAAGAGAAAAGAAATAGAACAGAGGAGAGAAAAAGCAACAAAACAAACAATAAAAAGGCATAGGATAAAAAAACCCAGCATCTATCCTCAAGTAACAACAGAGGAAAATAAATGCCAGGATATATTATTGCATATCTCCTTTTACTAGGGCAAACCATGTACCTCACACATAAGTAATTAGAAGAATTTATATTTTTGCATAAGGCAGTTTGAATCTCTAAGGGATTTTGAATTAAGATGAAAGGAAGATTACACAGTAGGGCACTCGTTAAGGGGCCTTGCTTGTCCTATTTCAATGCATGTTAGTCCTAGATTCATGGATGTTTGTTTTGAATAATTTCTGATAAAGAAGATAACCTGATGCATTCTGCAACAAAACAATCTTTCCAGGGATGGTGCAGACTCGATTATCAGAGAATGTTGGCTGCACTATGATGATAGGGATGGATTTCCATTGCAAATAGAGCAAAGGACATCAATAAAGTTAGGGGATGGGATTCTGTGTGGTTCCTCTCTTTCATAAGTAGAATGCCTTTGAGAGAAATCATTCAGAAGAAAGATGAATATCTCATGGCTACCGCATGGGGCTATGCTTGTGCATTAGATGAAGAGTAAAATACCAAGCTTGATTTTTTAAAATCACAGAAATAGATCACTGGAATGTGTGGTCCCTATTTTGTCCCTCTGTTTCTCAGGGGTTTTCTTATTAATTAAGCGTGCTGAGTATGTAGGATTCTCAGACGAAAAGTACTCTGTAGAGGCAAAGCAGCATTTTATCTTTTATTTTTTCTTTCTAAAACAAAACCAAATTCCTCCCTGATGCTCTTTGCACCACTGAATGTTGCAGTAACTAATTTCATATTAATCACTCAGTAGGTGAAGCAGTAATTTCTCTGAACCATCATTATTATGCCATATATCAGAGTTTCTCCATGTGGGGGAGGACAAGGAGTCTCTGAAAAGGTACGTGGAGCACAAGAGATTGTCTCACAAAAGAAGTGTCAAAAAAAAAAAAAGATTTTGTTTTTGTTTTTGACTTCCCCACCCCCAATTTCCTGTGAGAATTCTAACTGTTTCTAGTCATTTCAACATGTACATCTCCTTAACCTGGGGAATGCAACCTGTTAAAATATCTATTTTTCAAAAATACTCTTGATACTATGCTCCTTTTAAATTCATGGTACCTTACTACTGGTTTCTCCATTCTCCTGAGCACACTGCTTTTGAATTATTTAAATTGCCCTTTTTCTCTCCTTTCTTATGAAAATACTGATGCTTCTTCTTTTCTCTAACACCTCTTGGAAGGTCCTCTCTTTTTTCTGCTTCTTTAGCCACAGTCTAATGTTCAGGCTTTTACCTTGCCCAGATCTGTACTATCTAATATGGTGATTATTAGCAGTGTGTGGGTCTGAAAATGTGAATTTATTAAAATCAAATTCCAACATTGTATAAAGCTTTGCTGGACTATGTTAGTCTAGATAATTTTTGGCATGTCACCTCATCCTACTCAGGTCTATACCTTAAAAAGCTGCTAAAACAATCTTCCTTAAAGAGGACTCCCATTGTATCTTGGTCAGATTAAGGGTCTCTACTGGGAGTTTATACTAAGTGATTGAGTATGATTACTTTCCTTTCATCCCTGAAAGTCTAAGTGAATAACAGAAATTGGGAAGAAAATTTCATCTACAACTGGTTTCAAAAATGGACATAATCTACTTTTCAATGAAATTGGGACTCAGCCCAAAAGGGTGACTGAGCCACAAGAGTATATATGTTTATGTCTCTAGCAGGGTATATCTTTTCTTGAAAGTCAGGGATGGTGATGAGGAGCATAGATAGATAGGAAGCTTTTACCTAGAAAAAGTGAATGCAGAGACAGGAGTAGAGCCCTGGAATTGTGTGCAAATCTTTGTGAGGATCCAGCTGCAGAACAGAGGAGAGGAAGGGCTAGGAGCTTTCTGTTCTCCTAGTAGTCCCTGTCTTGAGGAAACTCCTTGGAGGTGAGATGATGAGAGGGAAGCATCAACCTGCCTTGGATTTGAAAGGCAGAAGAGAAGAGACAAACCCTAACTCATCAAAATGAATCCAGTTCTCTAGAAGATTTCACTTATGAAGCAGGCTGATATCCTGTTATGGCCAGTCCCTCAAAATCAAAAACCACAGTGAACAAACTCCTACAGCAGTGCATGGAGCAAATGTAGAAAGAAGATTATTTTGAAAAAATCACATAGAACTGAAGCTATGGGTGAACTTAGATCACTACACACACACTATCTAACGGAATATTTTAGCATGGTTTCTTTTCTTTACATTTCAAACATCGTAGAACAAAAAATTAATTTAGTTGGTCATATAGCATTAAAAATTAAATACAATAGGGCTGGGGATTTAGCTCAGTGGTTTTGCTGCCTGCTGCACAAGTGTAAGGACCCGAGTTCGATCCCTAGTACCAAAAAATAAAAAAAATTAAATACAACAAGGAGAGAAAATATTAGAGCTTATTGTATGTAGTAAACATAAATATTGTGTACAGGAGGTAAAAAATAAAGTTATCTAAAGCTAAGCTGTCATTATTTGCTGACGATATGATACTTTACATAGAAGACTCAAACAACTCTGCCATAAGACTTATAGACTTAATTGACAGATTCAGTAGAGCAGCTGGATACAAGGTCAACACTCAGAAAACAATAGCCTTCTTGTATGCAAATAACAGACTCACTGAGAGAGAAATTAGGGAAACAGTTCCTTTTACAATAGCATCCAAAAAATGAAATATCTAGGAATCAATCTAACAAAGGAAGCAAAAGACCTCTACGCTGAAAACTACTGCACTCTGAAAAAAAGAGATTGAAGAGGACATAAGAAAATGGAAAGACATACCTTGTTCCTGGGTAGGAAGAACCAATATACTGAAAATGGCCATACTTCCAAAACTGCTATATAGATTTAACGCAATGCTGATTGAAATTCCAACAATATACTTCACAGAACTACAGAAAACAATCCAAAAATTCATTTGGAACCAGAAGAGACCTAGAATAGCAAAAGCAATTCTAGGCAACAGAGACATGGCAGAGGGTAACACAATCCCCAACTTGAAACTATACTACAAAGCTACTGTGATAAAACAGCATGGTACTGGCAAAGAAACAGACTTGAGGATCAGTGGAATAGATTAGAAGATGCAGAAACAACTTCAGACATACTCAGCCATCTCATCTTTGACAAAGGAGTCAACCACCCTCATTGGAGGAAAGATAGTCTATTTAATAAATGGTGTTGGAAAAACTGGATTTCAACCTGCCAAAGACTAAAACTAGACTCATATCCATCACCATGTACTAAACTAAGATCGAAGTGGATTAAAGAGCTAAATATTAAGACAGAAACACTAAACTTGCTGGAAGAAAAGTTAGGTAGGCCTCTTGAAGACATTGGCATAGGAAAAGACTTTATGAACAAATCCTCAGTAGCATGGGAGCTAGCATAAAGAATCAACAACTGGGATCTCATCTTATTAAAAAGCTTCTGCACTGTAAGAGAAACCACCAACACAGCTAACAGACAACCTACAATGTGGGAAAAATTTTTTAGCAGCTGTACCTCAGACAAAGGACTACTCTCTAGAATATATGAAGAACTGAAAAAAATCAGACCCCCAAATTTAAAGACCCAAT